TTAATCTGATTTGTTGTTTTCAGTAATTTAAGAGAGACTTTTACTGCACACAGTCACATCTGTTATGTTGTTTGATAGTCAATAAATTTACAGAAGTAATTGGCTCAGAAGAGATCTTGTGTTTGCTGTTCCTAAACGTCAGTTTCTTGACCTGATTCCCAGAAAGGGTTAAATGAGACAGTTGCTAACAAATAAAATGATAACTTGATGTTCTCAACTGTCCTGTATAAATAATGAAAGTTCCCTTAAGAAAGGAAAAAAAACGGGGGGCGAGGGGGGAGGAGAAAACATCAGTCAAGCAGCAATTGCCATTCAGATTAATTCTATCTTAAGTATGGATGTCGATTTGTGATTTTCCACAAAAGTGAAAGAAAATAAAACAAATTAAGCATTCACAGCAATATTGTAGTTATGCTGCATGTTCTCTACATTAAAATGTTCTCAGAAAGCTTTTAAAAAGGAGAACAAATAGCTCAAAGTAATTATCTTGGTAGAACAAATTAATTCTGCACAGCAAGGGTGTGTCACATCTCCTGCAATGAATTACACAGATGTAACCCCAAAAACATATTTGATGGCACAGCAGACGTGCAACCAAGAAGGGGTTCACAAGGAGCGTCTTGGTTACAGAGAGCTCCAGCTAGATCTCCACAAATGAGTATTCACGATGGGAAAAACACTCACAAACTTTAGGAATAACCAGTCAGAGGACTGATGTACATGTCAGAGAAAATCTTTCAAAAGTATATGCTTTAAATTCCAGGCCTTTTGCAGGATACTTAAATACTCCTTTTAAGGATAGGAAATGGCTGAAAGCACTTAAATACTTTTCTGTAGGCTCTACCGGTAACTTTTACAAGTAAATGCAGAACACTATTATGTAGGGTGTTTAACTATTGTTATTTAACAGTAAATATATTTTATATTGAACATAATATATTCATATTATGTTCAATAAAATACTTAATACTTAGAGCATGTTCCAAGTACTCTGACATAAAGGACTGTACTTTATAAATACAAGCAATTACTGTTAAATCAGTGGAGTTGGAATTTTAGTGCTGCATTTTAAAATAGTGATTCAGATTTCCCCCCTCAAATCCTGAGGAAAAATCTGAGATGCTTTAAACTAATTAGCAGTATTCATTAGGCCCCATAACTCATGCCCATTCAGACAAATCCTCACAGCAAAATGATAGCACGAAACAGATACACAAAAATGAAGAATCAGATTGCTAATCTAATCACTTTGTCACCATGGAAAGAATGGAGTTTCTCCTACATGCAAAAACACAGTCCCAAAAAATTACAGGAAATAAAATTGGAATTCTGAAAATACCACAGAAAAATCACAGCAAACATCCAATAAATTTTAACCCACATCTCCAAAGGTTTTATCTCATAGCACAGCATGAGATAGTTTTCAACCCTTAAATTGAAATCAACTGTGAAGTGTACACCATCATCTGTGTATTTGTATCTGCAAAGTTAAAGGGAATATTTCTCATTTTGACCCTCACTTCAGGTCAGAAAATGCACTAGGGATATACTAGTGATTTGACTGTCACTGTCAGCAGGTTTCTGACAGATAAAGGGAATACTAATTAGTTGCTTAATTTAACAGATACAGAAGACAGAAGGACTATGAAAATAACGTCTTACAGGGAAAGATTTCAAGAACAAAATATGGGCGGGTTACAAAAGGAGGTTGCAAGAAGACCTAATTATGGTTGACAAATACCTGAGGGGATTTTTACAAGAAGCAGGTAGAAATCTGTTCAAAATACGCAATAAGGACAAAGCCCAAAGGCATTATCTGAAATTGAACGAAGGGCAGTTTAGACCTGGTATCAGAAATGGCTTTTCACTCAGAGGATCATTACTATATGGAATAGATGACCTACCAGGGGCTCTTTAATACTAATGAATTTTATTCCAGGATAGATACATATCTATCAGTGCTATATCTGGCCTTTCCTCCTGAAAGGCAGGGGATGGAGGAAGCAGACCTAGAATTGTCTCCTGCCGAACGCCTCCCGAGCGCCTCTACGGTGCCCGGCTCCGCAGCCCTGTAGCGCCACCTTCCGGGAGAGGCAGTACTCGGACACCCCCACAGCCTCCCACGTCCACCTCCCACCTAAGCCCTGTAACTGAAAAACAGAGCAAAAATACTAGTTTTATTTCATTTCCTGGCTGGTCACCAAATCTCACCAGGAAGGATCCCTCCGAATCACAAGCAGTGAAATTTAACTAGATGTTTAAACTTCATTTGAGATTCCAACTTGCAGCCCCAAAGGCCAGGTTGACTCATTCTGTTCCCTCCCTTGAGAGGGCTGTAAAACATAATTTTGCAAAGTAGATTTTCCATTTTATATCGCAAGACAAAATTTTCAAAATATTATGAGGGAATGCATTAAAGATGCCCATCTAGGATTACACCAGGTCCCATATGTGCATTAAATGTGATGTAGTTAGTTTTGAAAGCTTTTTCTGCTGCCTTTTTTTTTTGTTAATTTTCTAAATAAGCATATGCTCTATGATAACAATGAATAATTAATTGTTGTCAAAATACATTCCATTATGTAGGAAAAATAAACACTGAAAATTATCTCAGCATCAAGAAACAATACTATTAGTTCCCCTTTCCCTGTGTAACATGAGACTGCAATGAAAGCGTAACAGACTCATATTTTTAACATCCTAAAGAGTCAGGAAATTCTTATTTTAGGGCAAAACGGTTTTGGTGTGCTAAGTCACATTCAAAAGTGTAAAATAAGGATATTCCAAACCTAGCTAAATTAGTAGTGAAGAAATCAACAAAATTAATTTTCCTTCCCACAGCCCTCTCAGTTTAACTAACGCTTTCCAGTATACTTCAGTACACTTTTGTTTTTTCTTTTAAATAAGCTACCATTATTTTGGCTCATTTGCCATAGAGACTCCTCAGTATGAGGCTATTCAGGCAGTCTACTAAGTGGTTAACTGAGGGCTGACATGTGCAGAAAGCAACTACAGGCAGAGGCCTAGTCACGCCACTCACATTTCAAGAAAGAGACATAAAATTTTTTCTTGCGTTGGTAGTACCTGGAACATCCACCCTGCTACCAGCAGCTGAGAAGGATGCAGAAGTGAGGCACCGATTATCCTGAACCGATCCTCCCTCCACACATGTGAAGGGCAGACCCGCAGCACAGCCCTAGCCTTGCCTTCTCCTCGTCTTTTTAGCCTCTTTCAGCTGAGCCCCCGCACCCGCTTTGATTACCCCCTTCCCCATCGTGATTGGTTTGCTCTCACCTCCTTGCCACCAGCTTTTCTTGGCTACTGATCAATTTAACCTTTCAAGCGCTCTCTGTTTACACAAAATAAAAATAGATTGTAAATACATGACAGCCCGAGCACTACCAGGGAACACAACTTTCTTCCATCTGGCTCATTCTCTGTTTGCTTTACGAGTTGCTCTTTCACCTGGGAGTCCTGACAATCCGCATCAAGAGACAGATGCAAAACTGCTCCTCCAATTATATAATCACTGCAGCTGATAAGCAGGGAGCTGGCTGTAGGTTGCCATAGCGTTGGCATATCGCTATGGAGGCTGAGCTCCTCGTCCCCCTTCGTGGCGCTGGCCGCGGAGCAGCAGCTCGCCCGCTGGCATGTGCCGCGGGCTCGGCCCTGCTCGCAGCCCGCGCAGCGCTCCGCTCC